TCAACGTGCGCTGGGCGGATAGGGTTGAAGAACTGAATGACAACTGCTTAATCGAGTAGAACCGACACAACTCGTGAAAACCATGAGCTAGCATTCACATGTCATGATCCATCCTTGCGCAGGTATCCGCTGAGATAAACATCGACGGCAGTATGAACTAGATCCAATAGATGAATCATGACATGTGTAGTTGAAGCCCAACTGAGAACCACGCGCTAGCATAAAAAGCAATTCCTCATAACTTCTCCTCGTCCATCCTCTTCCTTATACCGTGACCTCCTTCTGACACACTTTTCAAACGCATAATTTGGCAAATCAAAAACCGAAAGCACCGCAAAGTTGACAAAAGATCCTAACAAAGGTCAAACATTGCCACAGTTGCTCAGCACAGCCAACTAACCAGGCCCACCAATCCTTCCACTTCCAGAATCATATGCACTCCAAAAACTGATAAAACTCCAAACAATCCACCACAACTTTCGTAAGAAAGACCGCCCTTCTATCAAAAACGCTTTTACCTACCAAACCGAACATTTTAAGTACCAAAAATTATCCGATGCTTGACCTTTGTTCGAATCTACAGTATAGTAGATTTCCCACTCGAAGTGTTTTTGCGGTTCCGAGATTGGGCTGCAAAACTTGTATGTTAACAGATAGCGACGCCAGTAATGCAGACATTTGACCCGCGCAAGAGGCCGGCATTGCTGGCGTAGCTATTTGTTTACGCGCAAACGTGGCTGCCCAAACTCAGCATCGCAAGCACACTGAATCAAGCGGAAGATCTACGAGGCTGTACAACTTTCCTTTTGTAACTTCAAAAGACGCACCAGCGCTTGTAAGAAGCCCAAACCTCTATGAAAAGTTAAAACCAAATTAACATAACATGCCAACTTACGTCATATATATCCGCTTCGATAGCTCGGAAAGGTACCCCTCTCATTTTGAGTGTGTACCTCTGCCCAGGCCGTTCACGTCCACGAGGTGGGGCGGCAGCTGACCCCCGGGAATCTTCGCGATCACGCCAATGTTCACGTACACGTATTGGTCCACCAGCGCCACTGCCTCCATAACCATATTCCTGCCACGAATCGCCGTATGCAGCAGGTCCACCAGGCGCACGTTCATCGCGCC